GGTGGCCCTGAGGTCTTGCGGTCGCAGACACAGAGCTCGCGGGAGCGTTAGGGGCTGACCCATATGTCGCAGGGCGACAATCCGAAGGGAGTCGACGGCGTGTTTTGAGTTATGCAAACTCAAATCGGAGGTGTCGCTCCACACGCACGTCCACCTCCTTGTGGCTCTACTGTAAGGCATACAGTTAGGAAAGTTTTTGGTGCCGTTGCTCCCATCGCTCAAAGAGCGTTTCGTCATCTGTAGCGATTTTGCCAGGGGCGAGCACTACAGGTATTGTCCGCATTGCGGTTACACGAGAGCCACCTCGTTGAGCACGCAGACGAGTGCGATAAGCTTCCAACGGAAATCTTGTGGTACCAAGAAACGAGCTTGAAGATCTTTCCGTTCGGCAAGCCTAGCTTCCGTAATATCCGGGGGGGCCAATGATGTGGAGGCGTAACGATCGAGTTACCAGGTCCTTCGCTTCCACAGCGTGATCCGCCGGGCGGAAGCCATATTCCACACGAGGGTCAATGACTGACCGTGGATGAGCGCGCATCAGAGCCGCCTTACGGGCAGGTTCCAGCTGCCGCCTCTGTGACTTGTCGAGGTCATTGGTGATGACACCACGTCCCTCAGCTGATGAGAGATCAGGAAAATGACATGGAGTCCACAAGGCGCGAGCAGGGCTTGTATCACGCCGCTGGCGCAGCTCGCCTTCCTCGTCATTCCACCTGGGAAAAGGAGTGTCAGACTCGTAGTCGACCACCTCCACATCCTCACCGAGGTCACTCGTCACTGATAGCGTGCGCGGAGCGCGACGGTCGGGCTCATCGAGCCTAAAATTTACCACCCTCGATGCCGCGGACACACGGTCCGACATGGCACCGCGTGCGGAAGTCGAAGTTGGGCTCTGCCCGTGAGCGCTGTCGGAACTAGCGAGACTTTGAGACTTCGGTGTCATTGACACAGGGCTCATTGAGCACGAAAATCATTTCGTTCCAACGCAGTGTCTAACAGACACGCATGCCTCGTTGAGACAATAATCGATTGGAACTGTAAATGATCTCAATCTTAATTGGGGAGAGTTTAACGGGGTAACACATACCCTGGTAACAGGGGTGTCACACCAGATGGGCATGGTATGACCACACCCAAACAAGAATACGGTACGGGGCTGGATAGCCAATAGTTATACATTCATTTAGATTTTACTTACATATTTAGGAAAATATATGCAGTTAAAATTAGGCGGCTTTGCCGCAGATAAAAATAAATAAAGTCAGTTTTTATATTTTAATTGAATGTTAATTAGCCTTGGGCTAAGGTTGTAATTACTGATTGCGATCTGCTAACTCGTTCTTGTTCTGAGTTTAGAAAGAGAGGTCGGTGACCTAACCTACGGTTCCTCAAAGCGCAAAACTACGGCAGCCCCGCTGCATTATAGCAAAGTTCAACTAGATGTATTCAGGGGGCTTGCATAATATACCTGAGCATCCACAAATGAATGGTCAGATGGAACGCGCTGATTGCATGGTGAAACACGTTCTCGTAAGCATTCTTACGAGAAAGCGCGGTGCTGAAGCGAAATAATGCTCTCACTTGTTAAGTCAACGATGAAGACAATATACGTCTCGACAAGCTTAGAACAATATTTATATATAGTTAATTTTGAAAACCGCAATGCCTCCTTGACATCGCCACAAAGTGGATCCCATCTTGGCGAGAAAGGAGTTTGTCGATGGAATTCGCCTTGCTATCATCGCCCTGGCTATCGTAGCAAAATCACAGATTCCATATCAGCGAGATTGATAGTTATGTGGCGAATGTGCGTCGCTAAGGTCCGTGAAGATGAGCAGACTGTTACAACAGGTATCTGAGGTAGAGTTTATCCAACACGACTTCCACGTCGTGCTTTGTACATTGCAAAGCAATCACGAAGCAACGTTTTAAAGTGACCTTCACCTACCTGAATTTGGCTTGTAAAAATGTAGGTCGGGTGTGCTTACGTGCCTTTCTTTCGATGCTTGAAATAAGTACGATACTTTTCGTCCACTTACTGACTTTCATTACTAAGGTGCGGTCCTCATGGGGTGGGATACCAATCCTATCGTCCACTGCTGCTTTTAAAACCTATTATTCGACAGAACCAGTGATGCAGCGGGGCTACCGGAACTCTCTGCTTAAAGAAAGGTCATCGACTTTAAGCTCTATACCCGAACTAGGACGAGTGTAGCGGATCGCAATCCGCTTACCCAAAATTGTAAACAAGGCATTCAAAGTCTTGCGTTCAAAATTAATACTGCACGTATTTGCTTTATTTGCTTCATTTGCTTTATTTGCTTTATTTGCTTTATTTGCTTTATTTGCTTTATTTGCGTCAAAGCCGCTTATATCTAAAAACCATAGGTTTTTCTATTTAATTTAAAAAAACCTAATCAATATGCATAACTACTGGCAGTATTTCTTGTTACGGTGTAGCCACACCATTGTGTGATTACATCGACTTGTGTAATCCACAC